AAAAAAAAACCTCCAGGTACGTTATTACAAACAGTCCCACGTTTTATCTACAGTGAAAACTTTTATTTACAAGCTTTACAAAAAAACCTCCAAAAAAGGCTTCATCCCAGCTGGGTTCCCCAGCAATGAATGTGGATAGTCCTTCAGGGAAGTGGTCTCACATTCTACTGTACTCTGAATTTGTAGAACCAGCAGAGGCCTTTGGTGAAGTTCCAGCCCAGGCCCAAAGACAGCAGGTACAGCAACACCAGGGGTGCAAAAGGATACAGCAAGATGGCTGTGTTCTTCAGGAATGGTAACGCTGTGGGGCAAGGAAACAGAAGTAAGAATGCAGATACTTCAGCTGGATGATGAAATATCCACAATCTCATTTATGTTTGTCTGGATCAGGCTTCCCAGACAGGTGTTTGAAGACAAAAGTTAAGGCTCTTTCAAGAAACTGCCTGGACAAAAAGTGAGATTTTGAAATTTGTGAATTTGAGACAAAATTTCACTCAGCTAGTAAACCACCCGGTAAGCAATGTGGGCTAAATTGCCTCCTCTCGTGTGGTCTTTATGTTTCTATGAGATCTAGATCTGATCTCACACTCATGTTGACCCACGTCGAGTCTGGGGTGAATTTGTGATGACATTCCTACAGGTCTGTATCAGCTGTTCTCACACAGTCCCCTCCCAGGAACAAGCCAGAGATCTACAGTGGATAAATCCCAGACCAGCAGGCTGATGGTTTAAAGATTTGGCATCAGAATTCGGCAGTGATGTTAAAGCTGCTGTGTTCAAAGCAATTGTCTTGGATGGACAACCCCAACTAAATAATCTTTCCATATCCTTCCACACACAACCGCATTTTCATTTCCAAGAAACAATATTGTTTCATAACTTGTTTCACATGGCCGAGAGGAAGAACACAAACACAATGACGGGAGGCTGCAAATGTAAACTGCACTGATGCAAATTCACAGCAAGGGTACAAGGCGGAATACCAGCGGGCTTTTAATCTGCAGATACAACTAGGTTATGACCTGGGGGGCAGCAAAGTTTAAATATGTTTGCATTTCCCATCTCAGAGGAACAAAGGGTATTGTTCTGAGGTGTCTGCCTGGTTGTATGTAGGCTAAGAAGCAAGCACGCTCAGATGTTCAAAGGGTGTTTCTGATGATTTGCTGAGGTTACGTAACTTCACTTTACGTGTATTCACAGACATTTTCAACATGTCTCTGGCCCAAGCCGTAGTCCCCACCTGCTTCAAGACAACCACCATCATCCCAATACCGAAGAAAACTACAGTGACATGTCTTAATGACTACCGCCCGGTGGCACTAACACCTGTCATCATGAAGTGCTTCGAGAGGCTGGTCATGAAGCACATTAAGGACACCATCCCAAACACACCGGACCCATACCAATTTGCCTACCAGCCCAACAGATCCACAGATGACGCAATCTCCATTGCCATACACACTGCCCTAACCCATCTGGATAAAAAGAACACATACACAAGACTACTATTCATCGACTTCAGCTCAGCTTTTAACACCAGCATTCCAGAGAAACTGGTCAAGAAACTCAGTGCACTGGGTCTCAACACCACCCTCTGCAACTGGATTCGGGACTTTCTGACAGGCAGACCTCAGGCT